GAATACCAGGTGCTGTATGCTGGGATGTGCGGGTGGTGTAATGGATAAAGGCTCGAAATTGTTAATCCAGAGGTTTCACGATCACCGAAGTTAAGCAACATCCACCGAGGTCAGTACCTAGATGGGTGACCACTTGGGAATACCAGGTACTGTAAGCTTGAATGTTCAGCTGGTGTAATGGATAAAGGCTCGGAATTATTAATCAGAGAGCCGAGATCCGATACAATCACCGAAGTTAAGCAACATCCATCCAGGTCAATAATGAGTGACCACTTGGGAATTCCAGGTGATGTAATCTTGAATGTTCAGCTGGTGTAATGGATAAAGGCTCGGAATTGTTAATCGGAGAGTCGAGTTAAGCAACATCCATCCAGGTCAGTACCTAGATGGGTGACCGCTTGGGAATACCAGGTGCTGTAAGCACGCATGTGCATGATCGGAATTGTTAATCGGAGAGCCGAGTTCCAATTCCATTAGGGTTCGTTATATTCACTTACGCGCAAATCCGTTTGAGTAATGGTAGGAATCCACTTCTTCTTCCCCAGCTATGGGTTAATTAGTAAAACTTGTATCACTAAAACTTTATTATCTTCAAAAATAGAATAAAACTGCGTACAAAATATTTATATTCTGGCATTAAATAACCCATAGAAGTTGATATACCACCAAACAAAATCAACCAACAAGGATCATAAGATACATTTTTTTATTTGGATCAGATTTAAAGGCAGATATTTTTACGGTTATATTCCCTTACGTGAAACTACCCTTGAGAAAATTATGAATCCACCTCTTCTCCCCCCTTCTATGGGTTAATTAATAAGACTTGTGTCATTAAACCATTATTATCTCCAAAAAATAAAATAAAATTGTGGACAAAAAATGTTTAGATTTCGTAATTAAATAACCCACAGAGATTGATATGCCTCAAAACAAAATCGATCAACCTAGTCAGTTATGAGTGGAAAGCGATATGATCGCCCAAGCGTGTATCACGTGTGGCATGCGGTTGTTGTTATAGCATATTTCATGCATTTGCATATTATATCCTCCATAGCCGATAATTATCGTTGGAGAAAACTTTCTTTTTTTTTTTTAATCCATTGTCTTTCTCAGTATCTCTGCGAGCCCCAGTAACGCCATGGTCTGGACAAATTCAACCTTCTCACGGATTTCCAGTTCATTTCATTTCATTGTTATTTTCTGTTTGTTTTAGCGCCAAACATTTTCTTTCTCTGTCGTAAATACTCTATGCTTGCTTTGTCTGTTACATTCATCTACCTCACGTCGATTACGGAATTAACACAATGCTGAAAGCTGACTATTATGTTTCCTACTATTTATCTAACTTACAACATGTCGGCATCATCATCTCCCAAGTAAATACACTATTATTATTATTATTATTATTATTATTATTATTTGTGTATTTTATAGTTCCTTCTTTGTAACCTTGGTCCTTAGGCCCTATAGGAGAATTGTCATTTTATTGATAGCTCTGTTCTTAGCAGATGGAATATTCCTATGAGGGCGATTTTCTGGGCAAATTTATATTGATGTTACCTGGAACACTGTTAGTAAAATTGTCCATTCCTTTTTTAACGAGGCCCAGTGCTGCTGTTATTATTATTATTATTATTATTATTATTATTTCCTTTGATTTCTGGCGTTTACACATTTCTTTCCGGGTCCCGCCCAGGGATGGCATCATGACACTTTCCCCTGACAAAAAAAAAATTACATAGATAAAGCCCTTCGTAAAGTGTCGGCTGTAATTTTCAGAACAATTTTTTTGTATCTCTTTGAGGCATAGACTTCCAGAGATCCCTTCGATTATTATTATTATTATTATTATTATTATTATTATTATTATTATTATTATTATTATTATTTCAGCACTTAGAGAAGAATGCGATTTAAGAAAAAAAAAAAGAAAAAAACACAGTATTTGATTGGGTGGTTGATTTTGTTTAGCGGCTTAACAACTTCTATGGGTTATTTAATAGCAAAATCTAATTATTTTACACGCATTTGTTTTTGTTTTTTTTTTTTTGTCTTTTGGTTTTCTTTGTTTTGTTTTTTTATGAAATAATGGTTCCAGGGATAGAAGTTTTACTAATTAACCCATAGCTGGGGAGAACAAGTAGATTCATACATTTCTCAAGCGTATTTGCGCGTAAGTGAATACAACTAACCCGACTGGAATTGGAACACGGCTCTTCGATTAACAATTCCGAGTCATTAGCCATTACACCATCCGCACATCTAAGGTTGTATTCCCAAGCGGTCACCCATCTCGGGACTGACCAGTTTTAACGTTGCTTAACACCGATGATCATACGGTAAAGTTTAAGAAAGATGTGACTATGTCTCACAGTGTTTGGCAATGTGCTTTTTAACCTTGTAGGTGAGTACCGATCAACCATATATATATATATATATAAGCAGTTATGAATGTACGTGAGAGATTCATGGAAGATGGAAGTTTATATGCAGTAAATTCGATCCTTCGTGGCCGAGAGGTAAGGCACGTCAGACTATATGACGGTTCCGTATAGGATACAGGTTCGAATCCTGTCGAAGGACGAATATTTTCTATGAAAATTTCTAGGACATTCAGGCCGGTAAATGTTATTTAATACTGTTTATTATAAACATAGCATTTACTTAAATACTTGAATCAATGAAAAGAATGTTAAACATAAAAATGTCTCTAAATATATATATATATATATATATATTAGGGAGAAATATCAGGAAGTGAAAAAAGCTTTCGCGTGACGCATTTCATCCGATAATTTGATATTTCTGTTGATGTGACTACATATGCGCACAAAGAAAGGGAACGCTGAGAATTTTAAATAATATATATATATATATATATATATATATATATATAATGCCATGGACAAATTATCATCTAAATTAAGCAAAAATGAAAATAACACGGGACATCGTATTTTAACGGATATATTTATCAAAATTAAACAAAAATGACGTCACACATTATGAATTCTTTATAAAAAGAACGTATAAACACAAAAAATGGTTTAAAATAATTGTCAGACTTTGTCCATTTCATAATGTGTGACGTCATTTGTTTACATTTGGATACGCATCAATCAGATATGAACGTACGAGAGAAAATCATTGAAGATTGTAGTTTAAAAAACAGTAAAATCGACCTTGCTAACCGAAACGCTCCTCTGTGGTGAAATCTGTGAAAGCATGTCAGGTTATATGACAGTTCCGTATAGGATGCAGGTTCGATTCCTGTCGGAGGACGCATATTTTCTATGACAATTTCTCAGACATTCAGGTCGGTAATTGTCGTTAATACTGTTTATTATAAACAGACCATTTACCTAAATATTTGTATCTATAAAAAGAACGTATAAACATAAAAAAAATATCTTATAAAGACAGACTTATCAAAGAGACGGAGAATTCTAAAGGAGGGTCGTTTGAGACCTTGTTAGGTATTATGTGCACCAGATATCAGTATTCGGCTCCTTAAAAAAAAATCTGGTTGGTTCTGCACAAGCCTTCACCACTATAACCAAATCGAGTAATCTCGCTGATCGGTTCTAAGAAGTGATTTGCTGGAAATTCATGCGTCGAAAACGACGGAATAGACCAATATAGATGGACAAACAGAGAGATTATTACTACAAGTCTTTATTCCAAATCTCTATAGGGTGCGTACACCGTTTTGCCTTGAAAAAGGAAAAATGATATAAATGATTAAAATTACTATTCATTTTTTTTTTAAACTAAAGAATATGGGTATAACGATGAACTACATGTGGCAACAAGGCATCTGATCGGGAGATTGGAGATTTTGAGGAACCACCTATTAACTGCAGTTGTTCCAGGATCCACTCTGATCAAGGGCGGTAGCATCTGTTAGGGTCCCATCTATGGGTAAACAGTGAATCCCTAAAACAAGAACAAAACACTATGAAAGTATAAAAATATATTAAAAATGTCACAATACTTCTTCTTCACTTTGTTTTCTTTGCCCTTTGCTTTTCACTTCCATGATCGTTCATTCATTCTTGTTGCTTTTGTCCTTATTTTCCTCTTTCTTCTTCATCTTCCTTCTTTTTTCTTCTTCTTTGCTATGAAAATAACTTCTTCTTTTTCTTCTTCTTCTTCTTTATAACTTTGTCTTCTTTGCCCTTTGTTTTTCACTTCCATGATCATTCATTCACTCTTGTTATTTTCTCCTCCTTCTTCCTCAGCTTCCTTCTTTTTTCTTCTTCTTTGCTATGAAAATGACTTCTTTTTTTTATTTCTTCTTCTTTATAACTTCGTCTTCTTTGCCCTTTGTTTTTTTTTTACTTCCATCCTTTCTCCTTATTCTCCTCCTTCTTTCTCAGCTTCCTTGTTTTTTCTTCTTCATTGCTATAAAAATGACTTCTTCTTTTTCTTCTTCCTCTTCTTCTCCTCCTTTTTCTTTCTTTTTTTTCATTTTTTTTTTCTTTTTCTTCTTTTTTTGTTCCTTTTTTTTTTTTTACTTCATAGCTCTTTCGTTTAAGAGTTTTCCTTCCACCTCATTCTCCTCCTACTTTTCCTTCTTATTTTATTCTTTGCGTTTTAATTTTCACTTTAGGCCCCATTCGTTCACGCTTATTCCTTTATTTTACGCCTGAATTGACTTCTCCATATTTTTCTTCTTCTTCTTCTTCTTCTTCTTCTTATTCTTCTTCTTCTTATTATTATTATTATTATTATTATTATTATTAAACCTCCTATTCCTTCTTCTTGCTTCTTCTCGATCATGCCTTTACACTTGTATCTTTCTCCCTCACCTCATCCTCCTCCTTTTAATCCTTTGATTCCTTCTTTTTTTTCTTCTTCTTCTTTGCCTTCTGTTTTTCACTTTAACACACATTCATTCACATTTATTCCATTTTCTTCCTCCTCTCCATTCTTCTTCTTCCTTTTCTTCTTCTTCTTTATGACTTTGTCTTCTTTGCCGTTTGTTTTTTACTTCC